AAATATGCCAATTTTTATACATTTCTAGGCATGTAAATATTTATATATTCATTGTTAAACAATATTCAAAAGTAAAACTAATGGAAAAGTTATGTAAAACATTATTTAAATATCTTTATCAATAGGGTTGGTTAGGTTAGGTTAGGTTATCGGGTTTTGTTCAAGTGACCACCCTGTTTCGATCCCCCACCTCTACCCGCTTGAAAATATTTTTTTTATTGAATTTTATTTGAATTATAGTCTATGAAAATTGACAAAATAATTAACTTTCAACCCCCATAACTTTTTATGGGGGTGAGACCGCCGCAAATTCTTTATGGGGTTTTACTCAGGTGACCACCCTCTTTCGATCCCATCTATCCTCTTTTGATCCCCCTATCCCCACCCCTATCTAACCCCCATAACTTTTTATGGGGGTGAGACCGCCACGAACTTTTTATGGTACAGTGGTGGGGGGAGACCTCCTCTTTCGATCCAAGCCGATCCAAGCCACCCGCCAAGGGGATGGGGGCCATCATCTAAACATTTACCGCGATATTTCTTTATTTAGGCTTTTTAATTAATAGATTAAGGGATCCATTGTTTCAATATTATGAAGCGAATAGTATGCAGGTGCCGCATGGTTAGTGTTGGTAACAAATGTGTTTTCTGTGTACCGGTCGTCGCGGTCGTGGTATGGCTATACCATGGAGGTACCTACACTCTATGCATGTATACAGCATGCCATTGCGAATAGTTGCAAGCCGGAATTGAAATAGTTATTCCATAATTTATTGTTTATTTACCAACACGCATTCCGTGCATTATACCGTTCGCTAAAAACGCGCTCCGCAGGTCACGAAAGCTCCGCAAACCCCGACATGGGAGTCGTATCGAGAGAGTCAACTCGGCCAACTCGATACGGCCAACAAGAATCACTGCCACCTTTGCTGCACCGCAGTAGTAAGTCGCCGAGAGTCAGAGTCCAAGGCGGCGGCGACAAATATTGCATAAGCCGAACGAGATGCCGACGCTGTTACCGGAACGACACGGTGCGATTAAGCTTATATTCTTCGGTTGCATACTGCACTCGATACGGTTTATATAATAACGCAGACTGCATCATGTTCGAGGAATTTTCACACGAACATACGGGGGACGATTCAAAAACGAGCGCGCGTCAGGACCTGCGTACTATTTGTCAGCTTTTTCATTGCATCAGGCCGACAAGATTCGCAGAAAAGACGGACTAAAGTCCGATGACGCATTCCGTTTTCCATGGCGCATCAACCCAATGATGCACTAAGTCTGACGCTTCAGTTGTCGCAAAATCGGGGTTTCTATTATAGTAAATCAGCGACGATGAGCAATATATGTTTTCAAACTAATTAGAGACATAAGCATTACACGCCATGTCCTCTTTGTGATTGTGTCTAGATTCCTCTTGAAGGGATGCTGACGCCAGTGATGGACTAAGGAAAGGCGAAGGAACAGCTCGCGTCGGGCTTCTGGTCTTGGGGGTATCCAAATTTCGGGATGTCTTGTTTAAGGAAACTTCAAACAAGGCCAAAATGCGTTTAGTGCTTACCTAAGTGTAGTAGGTAATTTAGACATTGGAGTCGGGGGCCTCATACGTATGCAGAGAATTTACGTAAAACGTTGCTCCAAGAAAACTGTAGAATGAACCACTTTTTTAATATCCACGTGATCAGAAATAGGTGTATGTACACCACAAGTACGTCTATTGCTGAGCAGACTGGGGCTCCCATTTCTTTTTGACGCGCCTGGCCTCGGACGGGTTTAATCCGCCATTGGCTGACGCATCTATTGTTCGAGTTCTGCGTCAATCGTGTATCAAACGGAAAGGAAATGGATTCAATTCAACTTTCATGCAATTTAGTGAGCTGCTGTGAACACTGAGCACTGAGGCAGTATGTCAACTTCATAGCTTTATCTCTTTAACGTGTATAACATCAAACTTTAGTAGGTATGGGTATTCTTTACCTTAAAATCTCTCGTAAAAACTCAAACTTTTTGACGTATCCTTAAGTTCAGCTTGTCGAGGATCTATTAACGGTAGACATAGTTTTGGTTTGGGTCATAATATTTTCTTTAGATATAAAAATTATGAACAAAAATTAATAGTTTTTGTTGTTCTTCACAACTTGGGTAGATAGTTCTATCCGAAATACTTGTGCAAAAGCTATAAATTTTATAACGGTACTCGATAAGGAATTTAAGCGCATTATATGGATAACGTTCTTCCGTCTGGGGATAAATAAAACTGTCTTTCTTGAATTAAAGCCCCGGAGCCTTCGAGATCGCTGCGCTGCGCTGCACCATTACCCTAAAACATTCCCCGTGTTTACGTCAACTATCAAACAAATTGATCGCGTGCTAACGAAAACTTTACCGATCGCAGTAGGCCAGCGGCACACTCAACACAATACACACGTGGACCTACCCGCACATTTATGTGTACGTACTACATGTATACATTGAATAGATCAATCAAATCATTAATTTATGCTCTACAAATATAACATGCAAGTCAATAATGAACAGGCGAGATAGGTTGGTAGGACACCTTCATGAAGGGTTGGCCAGAGACATTTTAGAAATAGAAGTAGGAGTCGAGATTACTGTTCAAAAAGATGTGGGATGTTCTAGTTTTAGGAAAATGCGAAGATTAGTTCAGGATAGGAAAGAGTGGGTGTCCAACCAGTCTTGACGACCTGATGATGATAAAATATACGATGATGATCCAAAAACAGAACTCATGAGATTTTTAATTAAAAATAAATCTTAATCAATTTTTGGGTATTATTAGTAAGTGATTTTAACTAGTGGTATGTCGAAAGCCACCTGTACACTTACTTAAATCTTTTATCCAAAAAACTACTCTCATAATGCACACGATGCACGAAGTGAGTTTAGTATAAATATGTAGATATAGCGCATATAAATGTGTGGCGTTCGTATAAATAATGAAGAAATTTATTTATTTATAAAGCTGTTGCCGCCCGTGCTAAAGTTGGCAGTGTGCTGTGTATATCGGGGCTGGCTCGGGACATCATCGGGTATATTTCTAGAAACAGGAATCTGTTTTATTTAATCACGGCTTCATACACCTACTAAACGTACCTACTGTTTTAGAATCAAAGAGAAAACAGAGATCGATGAAGAAATGCTTGATGAATTAGTAAAACAAATGCGTAAATTCGTATTTAAGAACACAAACTGAATTTGTTTATCCCTCGAAAGTACCGCGTGCTTTGATGTACGTACTTATCGAACTTTAACATTGAATGTGTAATGGTACCGTTTATAGGCACTGCGTAGCGCTGATATTAGGGTGTAATACGACATGCAGCATATATGAAGGCGTAAAAGGACAAAATATTTTTTTTTAATTTCGACTTGCAACTCAAAATTTCAACTTGTAAGTCTAAATGCCTATTGAATCGCAACCTAAAGTAACTTAACTCAATTCCAGTTTAAGCCTTAGCAAATTAAAGAATGGACAAGAGTAGTACAACACATTTCGTTCGTTTTCTGTTTACCTACAGTAACGTTTTGATTACAATCACACGAATGAGGTCTTCAATTAGGTTAAGATTATAATTTTTGGGGTATGTAAAGATAACGTGAACGCAGAATGAATTGTTAAGTCCAGATGTTTCGTAGGTAACTACGGCTAACATCTTCAGTGGTAGTGCATTGACAATGTGGAAACTGAAGATTTCTGTACAGTTTCCAACGAAACGCCTGGACCTTACAGTTTATTTAGACCACGATCCTTCAGCCCGAATGATAATTGTACGATATCATTGATTCTGACCGTGAAAGCCTAATCCTCCTTCTTATACTGATAGGTGAATCAATACTCAACTTGAAATTTCAAAAAAAAAAAATTATGTTTGTTGGTTAGGTGTATCTGATGATACATGATACATCTTCCTAGTATTTTAACTGATAATGGACATAATTTATTACACATCCGTTTTCAATTCATTTAGTAGGTAAAGTATTTAATGGTTTTATGATAGGTATTTGACTAATCATTGGAATTTGAGTTCATTGTAATTTTTCAAATCAGGTTGAAACTTGTTTGAAATATGCAAATTTTTCGGCATTATAATCGCAAAATTCAGCTATTACATCAGATGACATAAATTATTTTATAAAAATGTATTTAATTGTATTATTTTATTTATCTCTAATGGACAGTTAGGACATGCGACATCAAGAGTAATGACATAAAAAAAATAGTATAGATAGACAGCTGTCAAAAAAAATCAGATTGCTTCAGGTATTTTAATACGTACGATGACAATTTTTAAAATATCCTAAAACTTAGATACCTAGATAGGAAACTCATTTTTTTTTTCACCCAGACATCGGTTTTTTCGCGGAATTTAAAAATTGCTTACCCATTTTTATCCGCAACGGAAGTATGAATAGTGCAAGTCCCGTTAAAGAAAAAAATAAAGTCTTCGATTCACTCTTTCTACACTCACTAAAACAACAAACGAAAGCACAAGAATTTGATGCACAAGCAACATTCGCGGACAAAGAGCTGCAGAACACCTCACTTCCGATTCGGATACTGACTGACGTTTCAGCCGGCGGATTTCTTATATATTGCCCCACTATCAAACGCGGTCGCTCAGTCTTGTTTAGCGGCAACGGCGGTTGCTTTGATCGCCAGGGAAAAGCGATGCCGGTAAATTTACCTAGAGCCGCTCCATAGCTACGAAACACGAACTCTGTCGACCAATAGCGGCGTGTAACTAATCGTAAACAAGACGAGTGGGAGGAGCCAAAGGTGCAGTTGTTATCATTGATTGAGGAAGATACGACCAATTTTTATTTTCGTTTGGTTGAGGAATCGGGAATATAGTTCCAGGAAGGTAAATTGAGCCGATGAGTTCAGGAAATTGAGGTAATTTTCGAAATATAGTAAATGAGGAAAAGTTGTTTTTAAAATTGATGTTGTTCGAAATTAGCTTCATTTACTATTAGTAGTTACAGATAAATCTCTAGTAGGGGTATTTCAGTATCAATTGTGATGGATTAGGTAGAATGTGAAGATACACAAAAGCTTCATAACTCCAAGATTTATAAATATATTTGCAAATTTTGCGATTCATTTATGGCGAACTGCGGGTCGATAAAACACAAAGCAAAGCCTTTGAGGGTTGCAATTTCGACATGGTCATCATTAGAACATTCATGATATATGGTACCTACTCCATATCGGCAGACAAAAGTCATCTTTCAGGAATTTTCATTAAACAATAACGCGTCGCTATTATTTAATAATCGAATATTTATTTTTAATGGGGGTACATTTACATTTCTGTACTTGTGACCTAAAATAAGAGGCCTATAGTAACTGTAGACCTTTGACCCCGTTCGACCGTCAGATCTGTAGCTCCACGATTTTATTTCTACACGACTCCAGTAGCATCATCAAGTATCTATCTTATAAGTAGATGATTAAAATGATGACATCGTCGAAAATCAAAACTAAGGGCAAAAGTTTTTAGAATGTACAATGTGAATGTTCTATGCGCTTCTCGCCTCGTCTGAAGGATCATTTTGAACTTGCGAAGTTTTTTGGAAAGGCTTGATACTTCAAAAACTAACAAATTTTATTCGTACTTACATCAGGATCGAATAAAAATAATATAGGAAAATGGAAGGTATTTATATGCACCCTGATATTAGGATGTTGGAGTTTTTACTGTTATTTTTGTTTTTCGTTAAAATAAATTAATAAAAGTTGGACAATTTGCATCTACCTAATAATATTCGAAAGAGAAGTGTAATTATGCAGAATGGCCATTAAACGCAAGCAATCAAGAGCCGACCAGAATCGACTAGGTATGTAGGTATCTAATTTTGGAAAGATTCTTATAAATGCACGCAATCTCTCCCAATAACCATCACGTGCACAATTATACCGTACCCACCAACTAAGTAGGCATGTATACCTACCTACCTAAGGCCCGGTGCACACTTGCGTCATTCCTATCTGCGTCTTATCGAAGTCCCAATCCACACTTTCACTCTGATAAGCCAAAGCGATAGTTTCTTGTTTGTTACCAACCGAGATGAATCATCATACGCGTCTCCAAGCAGAAAAAGGAAGATCCTTTTGGATTCACCCATACATCCGAAAGAGGTTTCACAACAAAAACGGGCTGCATTTTTATTTTGTTTGATGTCCATATTTTCATTAGATATCGTGTTGAGAGATTTCCACACGCTCGACGTCAAAAGATACGACGCTACGTAAGATTTGGGCTTCCCAATAGACAAATGAGGAATGCCCATCACGTATCGAGGTATAGACAAGGTATAGGCACTACACGTGAATCCCTTATTATGAGATTAAAAATGACGCAGTGTCCGGATAGCTTTTTGCTTTAGGTCTTGGTCCCTGTACATATTTACTTCAAAATGTACTGGGACGCTGCATCATTTTCAATCGCATATAAGAAGAAATGCAAAACAATTGTTATCGGGATTCACACGTGACATCGTGACATAATCTGACGACGAAATCGCTCTTGATAGTTATGGAGATGGACGCAGGTACCTGTGAGAGGCGCGTCTTATTCCTGTACCCCGATGCCTGGCAGTGTTTTATTATCTACTGGGATGTGCTCTTTTTGTCCATCGGGATGTGCATATTTTCTGTAGTGTCGTATTCTCCCATCGAACTGTGGAACTCTCATAATACGAGATCCGATGAAAATGTGAGTGTCAGCATCTCCAAGGACGGTGTGGGAAACCTCATTCATGTATAAGGTTTAGGTTCCTTCTCCTTGTGCGTTGTTGATTCGATCGTTCATTTCGTCGAAAGATCAAATTGACATTCGAAAATAGTTAAAAAAAACTTGTCATCAACTTCCTTGAGATTCATCAAGACTAGTTTCCCTTCAAGTACCTCTCCCAGTTCTATGGGTGTATCGAGTACTTTCTGACAAATGAGATACTGTCGCTTTGGCCTATCATCAAACCAAAAGTGTGGATTGGAACTGATAATAAGACACAGATTGTTTTTTTTTTTTATTAAAGAGGGGAAATCTTCGAAAGATACCCAGTCGTTCGTACGACTGGGTAGTGTCGGATTCCCGAGGAAGGCAGATTGGAGTGACCCAGCGTCCCGATAGCTTTTGATGCAACAAAAGTGTGCACCGGGCCTAAATATTGCTGCAGGCATACGCGCGTACAGACAAGCGTGTCTATAAACATTATGTACTTACACATACACGCATACTGTACCTCTGCCTAAACTACCTATATATATCCTATAAGTGATCTTTATTTTTTCTTTTTTCCCTTTTTAAATGCTCTACCGACGAATATTGCTGCCTTAGCCCTCTAATTTGGCACGCGCGTTTAGCCCCAAGCCATAAACTTCAAGTTACCGTATTCACGCAATTTCGGCGCACCTCAATTACCCACCCCTTTGTACGGTTAGTTGTTAAAACTACCCATGAAACCAACAATATAAGTTGCATCTCATTGTATGCGTTCATTAATGTTTGATAAGGTCCTTTTGCGATTAAGGATATCGGCTTGTCAAACTCATGGGCACGTATACCTAGAAGAAAAGTTCCTGGTCAGGGATCTGTCGAAATCATCAGGCGTGTATCGCTATTCCTATCTCCTTGGATCTCATCAACACGCCGTGGAGATCGAAATCGCAATCCACATATGACAAATCACTGACTTGGGGCACTTTTTATGTCGCCTGTTTACTTATCGACTGTTTAGTATCATCGATTATATTTGATTTATGACCCTGCGCGACTCGCCGACTTGCTCCCCCGTAATCAATCGATGCTTTTCGGTAGTAGTAGAAGTAATCTCGAATGTTCAATAGGAACTCTTAGGTATTTGGTGACCCAACGCTGTTCTTACTTTCCTAACAAAAGCTTCGCACATATTTTCAATATTCCCACAGTAGTTTTTCCCTTTTGTTTTTCATCCCTCTTTCGACGAATTGGTCATTTCGTAGTCCGCGTGTGTACGAGAATTCGTTCCCGTTGCGGCGGCGTTTGCCCAAATATTATTTATTGATTATTAGGGACAATCGTCCCATAAATCGATAACGACGGCAACCGCTGCTTTAATTGGCAGGAATGATAATAGGCAGCTATGGATCGATCGATCGATCGTCGTGGCAGATCTAGAAGCCTGCGACGAGACGACGAGATGTGCGGCGCGGCGGTGCAGTCTGCGGTGCATGCGGTCGGTCAGTCGGTCGATGGTCGGTACGGCTGGGAAACGTGGTAATTCGCATGCACCGATCGTCAGTTAGCAGGTGCATCGAATCGAATACCATGTCGGGCTCACACCGTCTCACCGCCGTCGTTATATCGCTACACTATTTGAATCTCAACTCTCAATCCTTAAAAGACAATTAAAAGCAGATAACTTTTATAACATTAAATATACAGAATGCAACAGAAATAAGAACCGAGCTTGCAGGAGGTGATGGAGCACTATAAAACATCAATATTAAGTAAATGGTACACTCTTGTGACAGTGTGGCAACTTTTAAAGGAACAGTTGCTGCATCCTTATTATTTGCAGCGAGTGCAAGCCTTGCTTGAAACTGATTTTCAGACGTGAGTTGATTTGTGTCTAGAACAATCCCCAAAATGGTACGCTCATGTGTGAGAGTGTGGCAACTTTTAAAGAAACATTTGCTGCATCCTTATTATTTGCAGCGAGTGCAAGCCTTGCTTGAAACTGATTTTCAGACACGAGTTGATTTGTGTCGAGAACATTCCCCAAAATAGTACACTGATGTGTGAAAGTGTGGCAACTTTTAAAGGAACAGTTGCTGCATCCTTATCATTTGTAGCGAGTGCCTTGTGTGTCGGTGGTTTCGGAAGAAATGTGCTGCACAGCCAAATTTTCCATATTATGGTGTTGTTTACAGACAAATTTTAAATTTTCACAACGCTAATTGTAAGAAACATATGTTTCTCTGTGTGAAGTCCTACAGTTATTACAAGGATGAATCTTTTTGAAAAAAAAGGTGGTAAAGGTCACTACTATTAGGGTTGTTAACCCAGCAACAACAACACAATGTTGTCTTGGGTTTTCGTGGTGTGGGCCAATTATTTTGAGAGGTACCTTATTAAGAAAATTGTTACTGGCTGCTCTGGATGCCAGGAGAAATTAAAGGCCCAGGTAGGTAAACGTAATGATGGTATGCTAATTAAAGGATCTTTTTGTTATCGTACGTTTAACAGCAACACGTTGCGGGCATTCGCTTATTAAAAATTACCGAATATGCGAAATATTGTTGAACATATCAATTTATTTGAATGAACATACATATATGGTATATGCTTCGGCGTTTTATGTAGATGGGTCATTGGTTTTTATTTGGACATCTTTAAAAATAACGAACTATAGGGTTGTTCGGAAAGTCATTTCGTTTTTTCCCGACAGACGATTTAATTGTATTCTTTTGCACCCAACTTCACATTTAAGCCGTATAATTTTTATATGCTTTGAGAGCTCATATAGCAAGGCTTGTGTGTGAAAAATTCCAATTAATTCTACGCAGTAGTTTTTGGTTGGTGCC